AAAAAAAAAAAAAAAAAAAAAAAAAAAAAAAAAAAAAAAGTGGTGGCATACATCTTTAATCCCAGCACTCAGGAGGCAGAGACAGGCAGATCTCTGCCTGTCTCTGAGTGAGTTCCAGGACAGCCAGGGCTACACAGAGAAATCCTGTCTCAAGAAAAGAAAGGGAGCGATAGAGAGACTATTACATTTGTTTATTCACTAGTTTATGGAGTGATGTACATGTGGAGGTCGGAATACCTCTTGCAGGGGTCTCCTTCTGCCTTGTGGGACCTGGGGATCCAGCTCAGGTTGGGCACCTTCACCTGCTACGCCATCTTGACAGTCCAAGCGCATTTAGGTTTATAAATTCAGCGTAAAACTGGGATGTAGGAGACAGCATCAGACCTGGCAAAAGATGCTGAGGTTTTAGCCGACAGAGCTCAGAATAAATCAGCACCTTTGGATAACAAGAATGAAAAGTGACCCACGGCTGTGTTCAGAGCACGCCCTGCAGAATCCAGAAGAGGTGACTGACTGTCCCTGGATCCGGAGAATGTGTTTGACCATGGGCTTGGACAGATGGTGCTGCAGGCAGAGAAGTGCAAGGGCTTGAACCCACACCTTCTACTGCAGGGCTGGAGTCAGAGAATGATGGGCCTGGACAAGAGGAAGAGAGGAGGGAAGGCTAATTCCAAACAGAGCCTGGCCAAGGACAGGCTGAGAGGCGGCGGCAGCGCAGAAACATTCCAGAGAAGAACGTTCTAGTACAGTGTGTCTCAAACCCTTTGCCGCTGAACTCTAGACCCTGGCATGTCACCAGCTGTTAACTTGGAAAAGGAAAGGAAGTCCTCTAGCGGAGTAACTGAGGAAAGTTAGGCACTATGGTGAATGAATTTAAACTTTTTTTTTTTTTTTTTTTTTAGACAGGGTCTTATTATGTAGCTCTGGCTGCCTTGGAACTCTGTAAATCAGACTGGCCTCAGACTCACAGAGATGTGCCTGCCTCTACTTCCTGAGTGTTGGATTAAAAATGTGTGTGCCATCAGGCCCAGCTAACAGATTTTTTTCTTTTTTGTTTTGTTTTGTTTTAATTATTTATCTAGGGGCTGGAAAGATGGCTCAGCAGTTAAGAACATGTACTGTCCATGCAGAGGACATGGTTGGGTTGCCAGTATTCACCTTGCTAGCTTACAACTCCCAGTAACTCTAGCTCCAGGGGATCAGATGTCTTTTTCTCCAAGCCTCAGGCACCTGCAGACACATACACGTAAAACAAACAAATACACACACACATACACACATCACACACATCTCTCTGTGTGTGTTATGTATCCTACAGACTTGTGTAGCAGTCACAGGACAACTTGTAAAAAGTTGCTTCTCTTTCCACTGTGTGGGTCCTGGGGCTCATCAGGCGACAATTGCCTTCGCCTGATGGTCTAGCTAGCTGACATTCCACCTCATTCTCTGATAGGATCTCTCACAGAACCTGGAGCTCACTGATTTGGCTAGACTGGCTGGCCAGCAAGCCCCAGGGATCCCCTGTCCCAGCCTCCCCAGCGCTGGGGTTACAGGTGCTGGTGCTCTGTACGTGACTAATGGAGCCATCTCCCCAGTGCCCCTGATCGCCTCTTAACACTGTCCCAATGCTAATTAAGTTTCGATGTGAGTTTCGGGCAGGCCATTCAAACCACAGAGGGCCCTGGGCCGGAAGGAAAACTTTTAAGTCGCCTTCACTGCCAACGCCTTCTGACTGGGCTTGATGGCGTCCGCTCATGAGTGCTCTGGCTTTTTCCAGATTGCCTGGCTGATGCAGGTCACCATGGGCACCTCAGCCACTGAGACCCTGAGTGTGGCAGGAAACATCTTTGTGAGCCAGGTGGGTACTGCAGCTACCCTGAAGAGACTGGAGGGGGGCAGGGAGAGCCATTTGAGCCTGTCCCCGCGGTCTTCGAAGCCTGATGCCCAGGGGATGCTCCATCTGGTGGCCGCATGCCCTGCTGTGCCATACCAAACCCAGACATGGCCTGTTTGGCACCTCTGCCCCTTCAGCCTAGGCTTTTGCCATCAGCTTAGATACGCGTAGGCCTCAGATGGGGAAGCTGAGGCCTTGGGCAATCTGAATGGTTTGGCCAAGATCCCTCGGGGATAAGTGAAGGCACGGTTAGTTTCCCTCTGTCTGAAATGTACTTTTGAAAATAACTGTTTCTGAAGGCACCAGGACTCCTGACTCTCTTCAGGCCTGACCTTTCCAAGGAGACTGTGGCAGCCAGTGAGTCCCCAAGAGACACCCTCGCCAAGTGACTCCTTATTCCACTGGGTAGTTTAGGAATGTTCAGAAGATAGCCGCCTGTTTTTTGTTATGGTGCAAACACATTAATTTCAAAGGGTTTTATAGTTTGCATGTTTGGTGTTGTAGGTGAAACAGCTTGCAAAATAACCCACCTCTGTCTCTTTCTTTCTGTCTCTGTCTTCTTGGCTTTTTTGTTTGTTTTTTGAGACAGGGTTTTTCTGTGTGACAAAGCTCTGGCTGTTTCGGACTCAATGTGTAGACCAGGGTGGCCTTAAACTCACAGAGATCTGTCTGCCTTTGCCTCCTGAGTGCTGGGATTAAGGGCTTATGCCATCATACCCAGCTCTCTCTCAGCTTTTGTTGTCATTGTTTTGAGAGAGAGGGAGTCTCTCTCAATTGGCTTTCAGTTGATCCTCCTGCCTCCATCTCTCGACTGTTCCCATGACAGGTGTGAGCTACCATCCAAACCTCTTTAAGATATTCACACTGAGCCGCTCGCTGTGGCACACGCCTTTTATCCCAGCACTCAGGAGGCAGAGACAGTTGGATCTCTGTGAGTTAGAGGCCAGCCTGGTCTACAGAGCGAGTTCCAGGACAGCCAAGGCTACACTGAGAAACCCTGTCTCAAACAAACAAACAAACAAGATGTTTATACTGAGGCCCAAGAGGAGGAAGATCCAAACTACGGAAGCCTACCTATTATGAAAGCTTGGAGATGCAGCCTGTTTCCGTGGAGAAACATAAACAGTAGCGGATGTAATACTGGTTGTCATAAAGAGCTCCCAAAGCACATTAGTGTGTCTAAGTCGTAGGTCCAACTGCTCTAGACCTTGGGCTTGCTTCATCGCCATCAAAGGGAAGGATGGAGTAACGAGCCTTCGAGGTTTGCTGACATCGTCCATAAACAAGGACTGCTGGGGCCACTGCAGCCCATACTCCCTCTCCACAGTCTTATAACAGCTGCAGGGCTGTAAATGCTGTGGCTGTGCCCTGCTCTGGAGCCCTGAGCTCATCCTTCCTCCCCAAATTCTGGACTGATGGTCTGACGTGTTTCTTACCATCCCCATTCCAGCTTAATAACTCAGTGATGTCTCAGGTTCACCAAATAGGACCTGGACTCCCTCCCTTGGCACAGCTGCACATTTCTGAGGGTTAGAGGAGGCAGTGGCATCTCCCAGGAGATGCAGACAACTCAGCCATATAGCCTTCCTCGTGCTGCTCTGCCCATACATCCCATCTGGTTCCAAGTCTCTCAGCTCTGTTTCTGCATCCATCCGGCACTGGTCCCGCCCTTCTCCCTTGCTGTGAGCCATGTTGCCAGTCTGCTGGATCACTGCACCCACTGCCCGTTCTCCCTGCTTCCATCCTCACTCCTGGCATCCATCCTTAGGCATATGCCTGAGTAACGCTTCAAAAACACATATGAGAAGCTGGGGGTGTGACCCAGTGGTAGAATGCTTGCCTAACATGGGCAAACCCAGAGAGGTTCCACCCTCATCTCACACACACACACACACACACACACACACACACACACACACACACACACCATGCCATGCCCTACCCAAACAAGTGAACTTCCTCCCCAGAGCCCATCTGCCCTCTTCTGCCTCCATGTCAAACTAGTCCCCACACACAGCGCTCTGTGACAGATGTTTCTTCCTCCTCAGCATTTCTCAAACTTGGTCAGTCTCATTCCTGTTCCAGGGCCTTTGTTCTGTCTGTTTTGCTTACCTTTCTTGTCTCTTAAAGAAGGAAGACGATGTTTGTTTTAACTCACAGTTTAGAGGTACAGTCTCTCATGGCAGAGAAGGCTCGGCACTGTGCGTGTGAGGGGAGAGAGGCAAATGCTGGTGCTCGGCTTTCTTTCTACTTTTTATTCTGGGGCCCCAGCCTACGAGATGGTGCCTTCCATATTCAGGATAGGTGGATCGTCCTTCATCAGTTAGACCTCTTTGTGTGACAGCTCCCTTACAGATGCACCAAGAGGTGTGTTCCTGTGGTGACTGTAAATCCAGTCACGTTGACGGCAAAGATCCACCATCACACTCCCATCTCCCTATCCTGCAGAGCAGTACCGAGAATGCCAGGGGCCCTGTAGCTAGACCAGACAAACAAAGACTGGCCCAGACTTCCTCCACAGGCCCCAAAGCAAACCACTACTGCATGCCCAGTTCCTTCCTTGGTGGTACATCTGGCCTCATTAGAGGTTCAGGCTTGTTTCCCCTCCCAAGCCTCTGTTTGCCCCTCTGGAAAATGAGGCTCCTTTCTGTCTCTGGTAGTAAGCAGTGAGGGGAGGCGCCTGGGTTTGAGGCTCATGGTATGTATCAACACAGGGAGCACTGTCAACCAGGGAGTGTGGGATGGAGGTCCTGTCCCAGAGGTGGGAGGACAATGAGATCCAGAGGGGCTCGGCTGAACAGGAAGCCACCCTTCTGTTTCCTCCTCTGAGATGCTCCTTCCGACACTGTGACCACCACTCCCAGAGCAGGGGCGGTGAGAAGAACGCCCAGCCGCCACAGCTCACTGTCTGCTGTCTGACTTGTTTGTAGACTGAAGCTCCTCTGCTGATCCGGCCCTACCTGGCAGACATGACCCTCTCTGAAGTTCACGTTGTCATGACTGGAGGCTATGCCACTATTGCCGGCAGCCTCCTGGGCGCCTACATCTCTTTTGGGGTAGGTAGAACCTTTCTCCGCTTGGCTATGCCAAATCCCTGAAATTGCCTTTCTGGAAGCTCTGCCTGCTCCCAGTCACGGCTGCCATGGGGTTCCCCTCTCTGTCCGAGAGCCCAGCTTTTCCTGAGCAAGGCAGACCTGCTTGGGCATCACACGTGGTCACTGGGGCAGATTCCCAGAATTCCCTTTACTAAGCTCAGGCGATTTAACATCCCCATTTTATAGATAAGCAAACTGAGGCTCAGAGAATAAATTAATGGTCAAAGCCAGGATCCATCTGACTCCAAAATGCAGCTCACTTCTCTCTGGTCCCACATCTAGGCTATCCCTGGAGATCTGCCCTCCTAAATGAGGTTCTCCTTTCCCGGGCCAGTCCAGTGGTGTGAATCGGGCCCCTAACTCACAATACAACATGGGCAGAGAAGAAATTTTGACTGCCACAGAGAATGCTCTGTGAAACGCTAGGTGCCTGTCTGTGCTTTCGCATGCAAAGCTTCAGTTTGTTTATTTTTTTTTTCTGTGGTAACTATCAAAGATACCTTTGGTTGTTACAGGAGTGAATGAAGTATTTGTTGTGGTGTTTATTGTTTTTGTTGTTGTTGTTTGAGACAGGGTCTCAGTGTGTAGCCTTGGATAACCTGGGGGTCACTATGGAGCCTGGCCTCAAACTCATAGAGATCTGCCTGCCTCAGCTCCCCCAGTGCTGTGGCTAAAAGTATGTGCCACCATGCCCAGCGTGGTTTGGTGTTTTGTTTGTTTGTTTTGAGCTAGGGTCTCTCTGTTGTAGTCCTGACTGTCCTGGAACTCTCTACACAGACCAGGCTGGCCTTGAGCTCACAGAGACCCCCCTGCCTTTGCCTTCCAAGAGCTGCAATTAAAATTTCTCACTACAATGCTCAACTGTTTTTAAGGCAGGGATTCCCTGTGTAGTCTAGGTTGGTGGACTCCTGTGTTATCCCAAGGTTTGGGATTACACCTCCAGACGTGGCTTATGTGATGCTGTAATTTGGATACAGGGCCTCAAGAACACCAGGCGAACAGTCCACAAACCAAGCTGTGTCTGTGTCCCAGCCTCATGAATGCATGTTTTTGTCGTTGTTGTTTTGTTTTGTTTGTTTGTTTGTTTGTTTTGGATTTTTGGTTTTTTAAAGCTTACATACTAAACTGGTGGTGGTCCAGGCCTCCATCCCTGTGAAGTAGCATTTGTGAAGTAGGATCAGGATGTCAATCAAAGCTGTCAAACAGCAGGCTAAGAGATGGTCCAGCAATTAGAGGCCAATGCAGGAAGAACTTGAGTTCAAGGACCACCTGGGCCACGTAGCAAGATGCTGTCAAAACAAGAACAAAACCCAGGTGGGCAAGACAGTGCAGCAGGGAGAGCAACTGCTGCCAAACCTGCATGGAGTTGAGGGCAATACCCAGAGTTCCATGCTGGAAGGAGAGAAGCAACTCCTGAAAGTCGCCCTTTGCCTCCCACGTGGGTGGGCATGTCCACGCACTTGGGACACACACACAATTTCTTTTTAAAAGAGCTGCAGCCCTAGCCTTTGGGAGGTACAGGCAGGAGGATCAGAAGTCCTGGGTCATTAACTATACATAGAGCTGAAGGCTATCCTGCCTCAAAAGTCAAACAAAGGCGGGGGGGGGGGGGGACGGACAAAAGTGGAAACCCCAAACTTTGTTGGTGGAACTGTTCCCACAGTGACATATTAGACACACTGCTTTCACCCCCTAAGGTCTCTAAATGTCTCTGCTCAGGGCCTTGCCGTCAGTCTTAAGAATCGTCCCTGTGTTCTTTCTAGCCACATGAGCTTTGCAGAGACCCGTTCATTAACTAGGACTTAAAAGGCAAGGGCTGTAGCTCACAAATAGTGCTTGACTACCATCTGGAAAGACCTGAAAAACATAAAATAAAGCCAGGCTGTAGTGGCGCACACCTTTTATCCCAGCGCTTGGGAGACAGAAGCAGGCAGATCTCTGAGTTCAAAGCCAGCCTGATCTACAGAGTGAGTTCTAGGACAGCCAGAGATACACAGAAAAACCCTGCGTTAAAAAAAAAAAAAAAAAAAAAAAAAAAAACAGAATAAAACACACACCTGTCACCACGAGTGACCTCAGCACTCCAGAAGCTGAGGCAGAAGAATCAAAGGTTCAAGGCCAGTCATGGTCACATAGAAAAAAAAAAAAAAAAAAAAAAAAAAAACCCATTTAAAACAAAATTAAAAGAAAACGGTAGGCTGTATTGGACACACAGTGGGGCTATGTTCAGTAAACTCATCTATAACACATAGGTTGAAAATACATGGAGTATGTCTAACCAGCTCCGTCATAGACAGTACACAAGCCTTCTCCTGCCCCGTGGGGCAGACCTGGCTCTGAGGCTTGGCTGGCTGCCGCCACCAGCCTTGCAAGAAAGCATCCCACTGCCGTTGGCTAGCCTGGGAAAGATCACAACTCAAAATGCCAAGTGCAGTTTCTGCAGAATGCTTATCACTTTAATAGCACCTTGACGTAAAAATTACTCGTTTGAGCCTGTAAGCCAGAGACCATCAATATCAGAGGACCTCTGTCCCTTTTACACCATCTGGCTTAAAACTCAGCCTCTTCCTTCTCTTTTTCAGTCGTGAGTCCAGGTCTGGCCCCCGGGGGACGTTTTCCTCCCAGCTGACAACCTGACACCTCTTCTCTGTAGCCCTATAGGATGTGCCGAGGCTGCTCCAGGGCTCCAAGGTGAAAGCCCCAGGGTGCAATTGCAGCAAGGTCTGGGAGAGCGCCTCACAGACAGACCTCCCTCTCCCCGTTCTTCCCGCTCTACCCCTCCCACCTCTGGCTTCGGGGAAGCTCTCTTCTGCCCCCACCGGCCCGTAGCTGTCACTGCCTGGCTGCCCTCCTGCCCATTCTCTCAGCTCTTTCCCAGGGAGACTCCCAGCTTCTTTGTTTTGTTTTTTGTTTTGTACAACTGCGTTTCAAACTCAGGACCCCACATATGCCAGGCAAGTCATTGAGCTACACTCCCAGGCCTCAGATCCTTTATTATCTGTAAAATTTCTACTCCTGTTTGTGTATGAGCCCAGGGGGCCCGCATGTCAAAGGCATGCTCGTGCTGGGAGGAGTCAGTTCTCTTCTTTCCCAGTGGGTGCTGGGATTGAACACAAGCTTTCACCTGCTGAGCCATCTCCCCTCAGCTCACAGATTTCTCTTTGCGGCGCAGCCCTGACCCTTTCCCCCACAGCCTTCCTATTGCGGGTATCTGACACAGTAGCCGTGAGCTACTGTGCACTTGAAACGTGCCGGTTCAAAATGAGGTGGTGGGGGGGATTTGCACAGAAAAAAAAAAAATTAGGATATTTTATTAAATAAGTTTATGTTATCAATGTGGGTAGAAAGAAAAAATTTTGGAACTATGTTGGGTTAATGAAAACACACTAAAAATTAAGTAGACCTCTCTCTCCTCCTCTTTTATTCTTTCTTCAGTGTTAGAGAACAGACCCAGAGCCTTAATTCCAAATGGTAGGCAAGTGCTGTACCACTGAGCTAAGGTCCCTATTTTTAATTTTTTTTTTTAATGTCTCACTACATTACTTAGACTAGCCTTGAACTGGGGACCTCTTGCCTTAGCCGCCCAGATAGTTAGCGTTACAGACTTATACCCTGAGGCCTGGCTTTCTCTGCACTTTTAAGAATGTGGCTTCTGGGCACAGTAAGTGTATTGGTGCGTTTCTGTGTGGTGTCACATGTCTCATAGGCTCAGCAGCTGGGAGGAAGAGGAGAAAGATCACAGATTTGAGGTTGCCATAACTCGGAGGTTAGCCTGAGCTACACACCACCCTATCTGAAATTATAAATATGGTCTCTGTTGTGACTATATTGGACAGTGCCAGCTTAGGCCTTCTCTTTCGTCACAGGTGCCCCTTGACTGAACCATTTTGTTGTGACCTCCACATACATTTCCAACTCTGCTGATGTTCCAAAGGTTCTAGAATAGACAGCAGCTTTCACTGGAAATCCAAACAAACCAGTCTCTCGGTGCAGGGGTCTCTGAACCCAAGCTCAGCCAGGAATTGGCCACTCACGTTTCTTATTGAATTGTCCCCGGGTGGAACAGGGTCTGCAAGACCCTGAGTGGGCAGAGTGACTCTGTTCCTTAGTTTCAACATCTGTAAAACGGGCAGATGTACACTGGCTGCAGTAGATGGACTGAAGATGGCAGACACCACTTAGCACGGTGCTGAAAAAGTGGCCATAGTAAGATCAGAAACCTACCCTGTGACTGGCTCTTCTATTTCCTTTCTCTCTAAACACCTTTCTGAAAGGTGATGTGCTCTTGTCCTCTGTTTCCAGAGGGTAGAAAGGGACCTGGGGGTGCTGGGAGGGAAGACATTCTTGAGGCAGGGCTGAGGGAGGTACAGAGGGGCCACAGTAGGCTGGTGTGGGATGACCAGCGCTGGCTTCTCTGCCCGAACGCCGGACTCCACCTTTCTATGAAGAGCAGGAATGGCTGCTGTGTGATTTGAGGCTGTGGCCACAATGGCTCTAGAATGTGGGTCCCACACTTAAGATCCAAGCTTACAAACTTGGTGCACTCTTTAAGCTCAAGAAAGATGTCAGGGTCCAGACTAGGAGGCAGAGAAGCCCTCAGACTCCAGGTGTGGTACTGCCCACACACTGGAGCTGGGCAGCCAAAGAGGAGACAGGTGACGCCCTGAAAGTTCAAAGAGGGCACCCACCCAAACTGCCCCTTATCCAGAAAGGGTCAGGGTCCTGGGCCTACCATCTCTGCTTGCGACAGGGAAGAGGAGTTGGGGCTCCTGCTGGCCTGTTTTCATGGCATGAGCTTCCTGTTACTAAGATAAAGCACCCCAGAGAAACGCTTGAGAATGGAGATTTGTTTTAGTTATTATCACGCCTTTAGACTGTGGGCTTGTGCCTAGATGGATCGTTACAACAGAGAGGGCGTAACCTCTTGGCAGCCAAGGACGCAGAAAGACAAAGAGGAAGAGTCTGGGCACACGACGTTCCCTTGCAGGTGTGTCCCAGTGACCTAGTTTTTCCGACCCGGCTTTCCCTCTCATTGTCCTCAGTGTTGATGGGTTAGCCCGCTGGTTGCAGGCCGCTCCCTCCCTGCTGTGGATTGTACCAGTTGAGGACCGAGCTGCTTACTGATCCTTTGAGAGGGCCACTTCATTTCTGCGCCCTGAGTGGTTTCTGCTTCTGAGTAAGGAGAAACAAGTGGGGTTTAGAAAAAAGAAGAAGGATTTCAGGGCCTGAAGATGTTCAGGCCTCCTTCAGCCCCCGTACTTCCTGGCTGTTCCCCGGGAGCTTCTGGCCCTCTGCTTTATTAGCTTGGGCCTATGTAAACTCACCTTCCTCCTTTGCTCCTCTCTCCGCTGCCTCTTTTGAGACAGGGGTTCACTGTGTAGCTCTGACATTAGCCTGGAATTTTCAATATAGGCCAGGCTGGTCTTGAACTCACAGAGATCTGCCTGCCTCTACTGGGACTAAAGGCATGTGCCACCATGGCCAGAAGAGGGCATCTGTTTCAAGCTGTCTGTTGAGGGGCTGGGAACTGGACTCAGGTCCTCTGCAAAAGCAGTAAGTATGTGTCACTGTGGAGGCGTCTCTCCAGCACCAGCTACCCACCCTTTAAAAGCAGGATCTCAGGTGTCTAGGCTGGCCTCGAACCCACTACATAACCAGGAATGACCGAGAACTTTCGATTCTTCCATCTTTGCCTCCAGAGCGCTCGAATCACAGGGCTGTACCACAGCTCCCAGTTCCTGTGGTTCTGGGGATGGAACAGGCTAGACAAGCCTCTAGACTCTGCCCGCTGAGCCGCATCCCAGACACCTTCTTTTTCTTCTTAACTGCTGTTGGCTTACCACAAAATTGAAGGAGAAGAGACCTATTTTACTTTTCTGTTTATAAAAATGATACGGAGTTGAAAGATACCAAAAAAAAAAAAAAAAAGAAGCACCAAGAAAGAAAATTACTCCAAACCCAGCTCACCAGAGACAGGCAGTGTGCCGACAATTTGAGGGGCTTTTCCCTGGACTTCTCTCTAGGGTGGAGCGATGGCTCACCGGGCAGGAGCACTGGTTGCCCTCACCGAGAACGCACGTTCCATTTCCAGCATCCAAGTGGCAGCTCATAGGCATCTCCAACTCCAGTTTCAGGAGATCTGAGGCCCCTTGCTGGCCTTCTCAGGCACTGGGCACATAGGATGCCTACGAGCACAGGTAGGCCAAACGCCCATTCCCACGGAATAAATAAACAAATCTTAAAAAAAGGAAAAGGCCATTTGCTCACCCTTCGTTAGATGGTTGAGTTGATTTGGCTTTCACAGTCTGGCGAATAGTGCCGCAGAGGGAAGATTGTCCCATCTGTCCCTGGAGCAGTGAGGTATGTGCTTTAGAAGCATCCCACCCCCTCAGAATTGGTGTTGTTTTGCCATCCTGTTGGAGTACTTGTACAGTGTGATTCCCAGAGACAGCCCCACTGCCTCCAGGGCTATTGAAGTAGGCCGACTCCCTGAAAAAGAGTTCCCTAATAGAGGACTGACTGTGACTGGCTGCTTGGAAGTAGTGAACTCCTTGTCGTCCTAAGTATTCAAAGATCAAATATCGGGGTTACACTACTCCACCTGAGCTACACAGAGCCACACTGGGGGGGGGGGATGGGCTATCCATTTCATCCATCCCATCTCTCACTTCTGGTGCGTTGACTGAATCCGCCACAAACTCCCCAACAGTGGAGATCAGTAGTCAGAGAGACAGCCAGGGTGAGGAGGAGGGCCTGTGAAATTGGAGCCAAAGGCCATGTTGGGTTTTAATTCTTCTTCCTTTATTGTGAGCAAGTCCTAGCTGATCGTCTGGGGCACCCTTTCCTTGCCTGCAGATGCGGGTAGCATTACTTGTTCTGCCTACCTTAGAGAAGTTCTTTTTTTTTTTTAAGGACCACTCTTTTCTGTTAACTTTTATTTGTGACTCATTTGTGCGTATGTATGTGTATGTGTGTGCAAGAGGACAGCTGGTAGGAGTCAGTTCTCTCCTACCATATTGGTCCCAGGGATTGAACTCAGGTGGCCAGGCTTAACAGCAAGCCCCCTTGACCAGCTCAGCCATCTCACACACCCTTGCAGAAGTACTGCAAGATCCTCTGGACATAAAAGGGGTTATTAGCGACCATGCCAGCATGAATACGGTGATGTCATACTAATGGGGTGAAGAATGTGTCCCTCCGCCATCACATTTCTTCTTCCTATCCCTTATAGCCCCCTGTTGTTTGTTTGTTTGTTTGTTTGTTTGTTTGTTTGTATTCTGAGACAGGGTCTCAGGCTGACCTTCAGCTCACTAGGTAGCTGAGGACGACCTTGAGCCTCCTGTTTCCGCTTCCTGAGTGCCCGGATTACACGCATGCGCCTCCACGCCTCGTGGTGCGGTTCTGGAGATCAAACCCAGGGCCTCATGCGTGCTAAGCAATCACTCCTCTCTTACCACCCCTAGCCCACCCTCTCTGTCGCCCTTGCAGATTGATGCTGCCTCCCTAATTGCTGCCTCTGTCATGGCGGCCCCTTGCGCTTTGGCCCTCTCCAAGCTGGTCTACCCGGAGGTGGAGGAGTCCAAGTTCCGGAGTAAGGATGGAGTGAAACTGTCGTACGGGTGAGTGTGGCAGGGGTGGGGGGGCAGAGGTCGGAGGGGACAGTGCTGTCCTTAACTCATTTCTGTCTTCCGTGGAGCTCAGGCTCCTTCTCGGTTGGTTGCTGTCTTGGTGTGGCTTCGCATGAAAACACACACACTTTTAAAAAAAGGTTTATTTATTCATGTATTTTATGTACATGAGTTCTCTGTCTTCCTGCACATCCAAAGGGCGAATCAGATCTCATTAGACATGGCTGTGAGCTGCCATGTGGTTGCTGGGAATTGAACTCAAGACCTCTGGCAGAGTCTTAACCACTGAGCCCAAATGCACTCTTCAGAAAAAAAATTACTAATTTATTTATTTAAAGTGTATGAGTATTTGCCTGTGTGTGTTTGTGTATTCACACCATGTGCTTGAAGAGGCCAGAAGAGGGTATAGAATTCCCTGGACTGGAGTTATAGACGGTTGAGAGACTCCATGTGGATGTTGGGAATCGAACTTGGGTCCCCTGGAAGTTCAGCCAGTTACTCTTTTTGTTTATTTGTTTGTTTTTCAAGACAGGGTTTCTCTGTGTAGTCTTGGCTGTCCTGGAACTCACTTTGTAGATAAGGCTGGCCTCAAACTCGCAGAGATTTCTCTGCCTCTGCCTCCTGAGTGCTGGCAGCAAAGGCATGCGCCACCACGACCCGGCTCAGCCAGTTACCCCTAATCTGTGAGCCATCTCTCTAGCCCAAGCACACTTGCTGAGGCGATCGATATAGGAAAATGAGGAGTTGAATGCCAGCCTGACTACGTAACAAGATCAAGGCCAACTTAGGTTGCATAGGGAACTCAACAAAGCAAAACAAAGAAAAACAGCAACAACAGAATAAGGAGCATTGATTCCACTTTTCAACCCACAGTCCCTTTGGCCCAGGTCAAGGTTCCAGAGCATGGTTGACCTCTTGGCCTCATGTTGTTCCCGGCCACCTTCTCTGCATGTCTGACCACTGACCACCAGGTGGCAGCCTCACATTGACAAAAGGAACTCCTAACATGCCCGTGTCTCGGTCTGAATCATCATTATTAACACCCAGACCTTTACAAATGCTGAAAAGCAGCTGGCTGTGCTGTGCCTTGTCGGTAATCCCAGCACCTGGGAGACGGGAAGGTTAGGACTTCGAGGCCATCCTTACTACAGAGTAAATTCCAGGCCAGCCCAGGCTCTGAGAGGCCCTGTCTCAATACTCCCCATGCTCAGAAGCTGAAAAGACTGCAAACCACCCCATCAGCCCCTCCCCTTAGAACTCTTTCTCCTTCACTCCTCCCTCCCCCCCCTCTCTTTTCTCTCTTTTTTTTTTAATTTGAGACAAGGTCTCGAGTATCTCATCTGGTCTGCAACTGACTATGTATCTGAGGATGACCTTGAGCTGCCGATCCTCCTGCCTTTCCTACCTGAGTGCTGGGATTACAGGAGTGTACCATTACACCCAGTTTACAGGGTACCAAGGATCAAACCCAGAGCTTTGCACATGCTAGGCTAGTACTCTACCAGTTGAATTATATCTCTAACCTGTAGTTTGCATTTTCTAAGATTTGTTTATTTTTATTATTCACGCAGTACTCTGCCTGCGGGTGTGCCCAGAAGAGGGCACCAGATCTCATTATAGATGGTTGTGAACGACCATGTGGTTGCTGGGAACTGAACTCAGGACCTTTGGAAGAACAGCTGGTGCTCTTAACCTCTGAGCCATCTCTCCAGCCCCTTAGACATCTTTTTATTGCATTTTATGTCTCCTGTGTATATGTGGGTGTTTATGTGTGCCATAGCACTTATGCGGAGGTGACAGGATAGTCACAGAAGCCTTATCTACTTTCTGAGAGGGAAAGGGGGCTGCTGATCACAGAGAAGAGACCCAGGTTTCCGGGCTGACCTACAAGATAGTAGTTGCTAGCTCAGTGCATCTCTGGGCTCTTGAAAGCAGGCTGGTCCCAACCAGCTCTTGCGGGAGTCAGTTCTTTGCTTCTGCCATGTGGGTTCTGAGCATCTGACTCGGGTCATCAGCAGCAAACACCTCTTTTGTTTGGACATAGTCTCCCTTCCTGGCTGGCTTGGAACTTACTGTGTAGACCAGGCTGGACTCAAACTTACAGAGGTCTGCTGGGATTAAAGGTGTGTGTCCTCATGTCTGTCTTCTGGCCTCTTTTTTAAAATAAGGAGAAACATGTTCTTAATAAAAATCTTTTGCTCAATCTAATATATTAAAAAAACATTTTCGTTTTATCATGTGATCAATAAAAATATAAGAGGCCAGACATGGTGGTATAGATCTTTAATCTCAGCAATTGGGAGGCAGGCGGGTCTTTGAACTGGTCCATGTAATGATTTCCAGGACAGCCAGGTCTACACAGAGAGACTCTGTCTCAAAATAAAAACAAAACCAAACAAAACCCAACCCCTCCCCACTAAAAAAACCCAACCCAAACCAAATAAAACCAAAACTAAGATACTAAGATACTTTCCTCTCTTTCCCTCTCTCCTTCTTTCCCTCCCTCTCTTTCCCTTCTTCCTCCGTCTTCTCAAGTCCTCAAACTCTGAGGGGTATACTACATTTACAATATAACTTGGTTAGGACCAGCTTGCTTTCAAGTGGCCAGAGATACCCTGAACTATCAACTTTTATCCTGCAGCACATCCCAGAAACCCGGGTATTTTCTCACTCTTTGATCAGCAGGTCCCCCCCCCCCCCCCCGTCTTTGAAAGTTCTTCTCTCCCCTTGTCTCAGAAAGAAAACAAGCCTCCTTGATTCTGAGGCCCTCTGTCCAAAGTTCCTTTTTGAACTTATAAGGTGGGGACCTTTACTGCTTATGGGAACATGCCAGTAATGACACTTATTGATCCCAGAGACGCTCAGAACCTTGTGGAAGCAGCTAGCTCTGGGGCTGCCATCTCAGTGAAGGTCGTTGCCAACATTGCTGCCAATCTGATAGCCTTCCTGGCTGTCCTGGCCTTCATCAACGCTGCCCTCTCCTGGCTGGGGGACATGGTGGATATCCAGGGACTCAGCTTCCAGGTGCGGCCACGGTGGAGGGGATGGTCTCGGGACAGGGAAGGCTAGATGGAGTTGCAGAAGAGGCCTCCTCTGTCCTATCCAATTCTCCTGCCCTTTTATCCTCAGCTCATCTGCTCCTACGTGCTGCGGCCTGTGGCCTTCTTGATGGGGGTGGCCTGGGATGACTGTCCAGTGGTGGCTGAGCTGCTGGGCATCAAGCTGTTTCTGAATGAGTTTGTGGCCTATCAAGAGCTTTCCCAATACAAGCAGCGACGCCTGGCAGGGGCCGAGGAGTGGCTTGGCGACAAGAAACAGTGGATCTCTGTGAGTGTCCGGATCCCTTCCTGGCAGCTTGGGGATGGCACAGCATTCCCTTGGGCATAATTGCTCTGTGTTTCCCTGGGCCTGTCACAACACTTAGCCGCCCATACCCTGCCATCCTGGGATACCAGACAGGCTTGGCTGTCAGCTCTCTCCAACATCGGGGCTTCCCTGTGGGCTTGTTTGTCGAGACTGAGTTCTGGGTGGGCCATAGCTGGCTTTGGCCTTGGATGGGTCCCTGTGTCTTGCCTCTCTTTTGATAAACAGGGGTATAATTCCCACCTCCTTTACCTCAAAGGAGTGTGTGCGAGTGTCCAGTGGGCTAGAAGAATGAGCGAGCTCTGAGACCCTCCACCACAGCCCCTGATCTAATACAAGGTGCATGGTCTAGGGCTCGGTTTTCTTGTTAACATTTATTCTAAAAGCACAGCCATGAACAGAATTATGTAAACTCTACGAAATTTGCCTTGCCAAAAGAGTCCAAAATCATGACATAATGTTGAGACTCAAACAATGTCTATAATCTCACTATTCTAAGACAACAGACAACTGCTTTTTTGTCCATTTTCTTCTTTTTCACGTATTGTTTTGGGAATAGGGATTCATGTAGCCCAGGCTGGCCAAAGATATATGGAAGAATGACCTTGACCTCCTGGTCCTTCTACTTCTACCTTTCGGGTTCCGGAATTACAGGTGTGAGCCTCCAGGGCCAGCTTCTCTCGTCCTTTCTAAGACAGAATTTACACAGTTGCTATCCCCAGAACATCGTAGCCAGCGGTCGCCCTCATCACTGTGATGTATGTAGCTTTTTATTTTCAGTGCTTGAGACCGAACCAGGCCCTCATGCATGCTAAGCACTGAGTCACATGCCATTTGAAATTTAGTTATCCTTTTTGTTTGTTGGTTGGTTTGGTTTTAGAGAAAGTTTTCCCATGTCGCCTTGATTGTCCTGGAACTCCCTCTGTAGACCAGGCTGGCCTTTGCCTCCTGAATGCTGGCATGAAAGGTGTTTGCTATCATGCCTGGCTCCAAAATGCATGTATCTTTAAAATATATGATAACAATTATTTTAGAGAGTGCACATATCATACCATACATGTGGAGGCCAGAGGACAATTTGCAGGAGTTGGTGAACTTAGGGTGTCAGGCTTGCCGGCAGCATTTTACCTGCTGAACCATCCCACGGGCCCAGCTTTGAGTATCTTACCATCTTCTCTAGTCTTGTGCCGTTGGGTCATTCAGCTGGCTGTGTTTGATGATATGGAAACGAGTATCTCCATGTGCCGAAGGCATATTTCCCTGGCTCCTGGGTCGGGAGCTTCCTGAGAGGCGGGCGAGCGAGGCCCACGGACAGCAGCTTTTAACTAGTGTGCTGGTGTCCCATTGTAGTCACCGCCAGAAACACAGCAGCATCGGAAGTCTGCGTTTAACAGCAAGATCTGCTCATTTGGAAGGGTGTTTGAATAGCATGCCCAAAGCCCTGGGTCTGATCCCCAGCACTACCTAAACTGCGGCTGTGGTGGAGGCAGGAGGATCAGAGGTTCAGGGCCATACATGGAGCTAAACCATTATAGTCCCACACAGCCCATCATCTCGTGTCCCCTCAGGGGTCTAAAATGAACTTTATCTGTGGTGTGAGGCGTGGGTGGCGACCAGTTATTCTTTGCAAAGTGGACCATGTTAGCTCCTGACATTTCTCTCTAGAAAATTAGGCAACCATTCAGAACAGGGTGGGAGAGAAGCACTTCGAATAATGTCCTTTTGTATACCCGGTGTTCCCTGTCTGCTGCATGGGCCTTGCCTCTCCGGGCAAGCACTGCAATTCTCACATTCCAAAGGTAGAGCTTTGAAGCTGAAAGAGGCTATTGACGTGCTCAAGCCGATTTCAGTGGGAACAGACTGGGGAACCAGGCAGGTGGGATTCCCAGTGCCCGACTGTGCAGCCTGACCGCCCAAATTGAGATCTGGGCTTACAGGTATTTGCAGTGACTAGAAAGAAACAGGAGGCTGCGGAGTGGGGAGAAGGGGTGTCCTCAGATTGCCCTTGGCATACGGAACCAACCTGAATCACATCTCCAAATACTGGTAGTTGGGTGGGGGGCATAGCTCACGTGGTAGAGTGCTTGCCTAGCATGCATGAAGCGCTGGGTTCGATCCCTGGCACCGCACAGACGGGCATGGTAGTGTCTGTAACTGCAGAGGTAAAAGCAGGAAGCTCGGGAGTTGGAGATCAGCCTCGATATCATGGCCTTCACGACTGCTTAGGACTATTTAGGCCTGTTCTAAAACACGAAACAAAAGGTAGGTGCTAAGGACACAGGCTGCAGGACAGCTGAGAGAGAGGGGCTCATGTTTTGGGGGTAGGAAAGCATGAGCTGACAGAAAGTGGGGGTATGTATGAGTCTGCAAATGAGTATCACAGGTTCCTTTTTGGCTTTGGCCTTGGAGACCCCCATGATTCTCACTTGCTGGACTTGGACAACTGGAGGGGGTGCTTCATGGCCTCCTCCGGTGAGGCCTCCTTGTCGTCTATGTTTTCAGGTCAGAGCAGAAATCCTGACGACATATGCCCTCTGTGGATTCGCCAACTTCAGCTCTATCGGCATCATGCTGGGAGGCCTGAGTGAGTATCTGGGCTCTGCAGCAGCCAGGAACCAGGAGGTCACAGAGGGATGGTGGGGAGGGGGTGATGGAGACAAGGAGTAGAGTAAAGGCTGTGAAGTCATAGGTAAGTGAAGGACAGACACCCTCCCCCTCTCCCCTTTCTGCTCTCCCACTTTCCTCCCCCAAAATGTGAGGTTTTCTGGCTCACCTGTTTCCCACTGTGTCCTCACAGCCAGCCAGAGGGAAGCAGGGCCCCCATGGATGTGGTTCTGCACGGATGGGCATGGCAGCCTTTTGAGGCTGGCCTAGTTTAAGACAGAGTAAAGCTGTGTATTGAAGAAGCGAAGAGAAGGCCAGGAAATGGCTCAGCTGTTCAAGGCCAGCCTGCACTACATGGGACCCTGGCTCATAAAAACAAAAACAACAAAGACAACAATCAGCTCTCTTTCCCTCCTCCTGCTTCAGTGGGTGTAGTGAAGGGGACATCACCAAATGCTTTGAGCTAGGCCAGAGGACAAGGAAGGGGCCCCTGCCCTCCTGCCACCTAAAAGAGGAGGTGGGCAGAGGGGTGAGTGGCTTCCTTGGCCCTAAGCTCTCTTGCTCCCCTGCAGCCTCCCTTGTCCCCCAGCGGAGGAGCGACTTCTCCCAGATTGTGCTGCGGGCGCTGATCACAGGGGCCTTCGTGTCCCTGGTGAACGCCTGTGTGGCCGGTGAGTGCCAGTCCAGAGGGCTTTCGGCCCCGCCCCCCACAGACAGGGCTGGCCCCTGGACCGGTCCTCCAAGCTGCTCTCTCCACAGGGGTCCTCTACGTGCCCAGGGGCGTCGAGGTGAACTGTGCACTTCTTCTGAACCAGACCCTCAGCAGCAGCAGCTTCGAGGTGTACCAGTGCTGTCGCCAGGTCTTCCAGAGGTGAGCGCCCACGTTGTTGTCGGCTGTAGGTGGCGGCTAACCTGGAGACAGAGCAGAAGACCCGCGTACCCCCGTGCTTTTGGCACTAGGGGGCAGTGTGGGAATGCTATGGCTGCCTCAGCAATGACTAGGGGAGGAAGAAATGAAGGCTTTAAGGCTTTAAGGACCAACGCTGAGGAGGAAAGGTGGACCAGAGATGCGCTGCAACATTCCCAGGGCTGCAGATCCTACTAACTGCTACAGAGGTGCCCTGGACATCCTACTATGGTTTTTGCTTTCTTTTCAGCACCGGCTTGGAGTTCGGCCAAGAGGCACTGGACAACTGCTGTCGATTTTACAATCACACGAGCTGCACCTAGCTGGGACTGAACATCTCCCCACCCCCAGGGCTCATCCATCCCAGAAAGTGTCCTCGAGGAAACCACGGGACTCATCACAACCTCCATCCTACAGTTGGGAAAGGGTGCTGCAGTGAATGGAGACAGCAGGAAAAGGAAGACAAGATGGCTCCCACCCCTGGTCACATCGCTGCTCCCCCATGCTCGACCTTCCGTGTGAACTCTGTGTCTGCTCTGCTCCCTGGCCCTCTGCGGGCCAACATCCTGGTCCTCTCTGTTCCTCTTTCCTTGGGATCCTCCTGTGCACCTATCCAGAGCCTCCTCCCTGCTCCCTCCCAAGCATCCAACTTGCTGGGTCGGTCTCTAGAGACACCTTCCAACACCTCCCTTCACTCGGTCCCCAGAGCACCTTCCAGACTGGTGCCTGCAGGGCGTCATTTGGGCGTGATGTCAGGGCAGCCCGAGGTCCACTTTGTTTGGAACGCTGAGCTGGATAAAGTTAGATAGGGTTTGTGGTTTTGTTGGATTTTTGTTTGTTGGTTTGTTGTTTTGTAGACGGGGTCTCAGGTAGCTCACTCTGGCCTTGAACTCATTCTGTAGCTGAGGGTGACTCCTGCTCCTTCAGCTGCCATCCTCGAGAGGTGGAAGTGAAGGGTGAGAACTTACTTGCACTGCCAGGAGATCTCAGTGGGTAATGGCATCTGCTGCTAAGCTCGAGGAGCCGACTCTGGTCCCTCGGGCCCCTACAGTGAAAGGGGAGGTGACTCCTGACCTCTACACGTGTGCCACGGCACATGCCCTGTCCCCTCCCAACTGAAAATAATAAAATGTGACTTTAAAACGTGTGTGTGTGTGCCACCCTACACGCTTGGAGATCAGAGAACAGCTTTTGAGAGCTCATTCTCTCTTCTACGTTTATATAGGTTCTAAGGATCAAACTTGAGTCTTTAGACTTGCATGGAAGCTCTTTTCCTGCTGAGCCATCTGGCCGTTCAAAAACTTTCTTTGTTGGTTTTGTTTTGGTTTGGTTTTGATTTTGGTTTTTTGCTTGGAACTCAGCATGTAGGCCAGGCTGGCCTCAAACTCACAAGAGTACCTCCTACCTCTATCTCCTGAGTGTTCAAGGCTGTGTGCCACCTCCCAGCTCCAGGAATTTTTCTTAGCGGAAGCATCTTTTTGAAGGTTTCTTGGAATACAGTTGGACAAATATCTCAGAGTCACAATGCTTTATTTTCCCCGATTGTGACAGAAGAGAATGTGCGCGCAGCGCTGGGATCAGACACCACTCTTGGTGCTTTATGGTTCTCTTTCAGTCCTTACAACAGTCCTGTGAGGTTGGCACTATTGCTACCCCCAGTTCGCAATGCCTCAGAGAGCTTTAGTAACCCTGCCCAAAGAAACATACCTAGACAGAAGAAAAGGCGGGATTTGAACCCAGGGCATCAAATCCCATAATCTGTGATGTGTAAATTCTCCACTAGGCTACTGGTGTTGGGGGGGGGGGCGCTCTGTTAGATTACTATTCTGATCTTCCCTCCTGCCCCTCCTCCAGCAGGTCAGGTTTTGATGCTTGTTTCCAGCCTGTACTGCTTAAGTCTTCGTCAGCTTGACAAAAACTGAGTCACGTGGAAAGAGGGAACCTCAACTGAGGAACTGCTTCCACTGGCCCTTGGGCAAGTCTGTAGCATACTCTTTTTTACTGTTTATTGATATGGGGAGGCAGCCCACTGTGGGTGGTTCCACCCCCTAGACAGGCGGTCCTGGGTTGATAAGAAAGCAAACTGAACACAGCAGAGAACAAACCAGGAAGCAGTGCTCCTCTGTGGCCTCTGACCCTACGTGATGGCCTGTGACTGAGAGGCGCAAAGCAAACAAACTCTTTCCTCTCAAGCTGGTTTGGGTCAGTTTTATCACCGAAACAAAAGGAAACCAAAGAAATTGGTACCAGAGAGTAGAATTTGCTGGTTTTTATTGAGGATTGGGGAAAGCTGTTGAGTGCTTAGAACCATCGGGCTATTCTGTGGGAACTTGGGAGACAAGCATGTCGAGAGAGGTGCGGATGATGGAGACCAGACTTGTGAAGTTTCAGGGTCCCTCAAAGACGGTCGTGGCTGTCAAGACTGTATGATAAGCCCGCGATATTTTGAATTAAGAGTCAACAGAGGTGAACCCTTTAGCTTACTGAGACAATCAATGCTAATGAGCTGGCATGAAAAAATCAGCTGTGATTAATATGAAACCAAGATCTTCTAGAAACTATTTCCTCAAGATCAGCACACAGAAACTGGGCTACTGGAGTGCCAAGGAGGTATATCAAGCTGGCAGCAGAATGGGACAATGTGAGTCTCACCTGTAATACTGGGATTGAAGGCACGAAGGAGTCTCGGAGGGCAACGAGGAGTCCACGAGGCTTGGAATTGTGTGGGACTAAGAGAGGGCACTGGTGAAGGTGTGTGCAGGGTTAATGCTAGTACTGAAGGGGTCATGGAGGGAAGCTGAGGCACAGCACCATATGCCAGAGTCGGAGTCCCTGAAGAGTCCAGGAGAAGACATTGGTGAAGGTGCAGCCTCAGTTGCAATAAAGATCCAGCATATGGCAGATGCTGAGACTGTGGGATGACCACGAAGGACAGCAGTGGGGGTGGGGTGGAGCTGGCCTAAGCCTATGAGACAAGCTGTGCGTGCTGGAAATGACAGAGCTGGAAAAAGAACTGCCAGAGCCCTTTGCAGTCCGGAAGACCATGGGTGAGTCCCAAATGTCAAACACTGAGCTTTGTACGATGTCGGATTTGGGGTTTACTTTGCTCTATTACAATGGTACCCTGGTTCTTCCCTTTTGGAATAAGAAAGAATGTAATTTAGTTTGGACTTCATAGGCATCCACATTTAAGAGATTTTGAATATTTAAATTTGTTTATTTTTATTGTCTGTGTGTAAGAGATGTATGTTTGTGGGCACACTTACACTGCAGTTTGTGTGTATGGGGGGGCGATCGGCAGACAACCTTGTACAACCCATTTTCTTCTTTCACCTTTATGTGGGTTCAAGGGACTGAACCCAGATAGTCAGACTTGCATGCCAAGCATGCTTTTACCCGCTGAGCCATTTTACTGGCTCTGACTTAGGGTATTTTTTTTAACAACTTATTTTTATGTTATGTGTTCGAGTATTCGTCTGCCTGTGTTTATGTGTTCAATGAATATGTCCAGTGCCCTAAGAGATCAGAAGAAAGTGTTGGGCCCTCTGGAACTAGAGTTAGAGACAGCTGTGGATGCTGGGAACCTGGATCCTCTATAAAAGCAGCAAGTACTTTTAACCCCAGAGCCATCTTTCCAGCCCCAACTTGGAGTATTTTAAAGAACTATTGAACTCTTAAATGATAGATTTTTTTTCCTTCTTTTTTATTGTTATCATTTATTACAGTTTATTCAGTTTGTATCCCAGCTGTGGCCCCCTCCCTCACCTCCTCTCAATCCCACCCTCCCTCGCTCTTCTACCCCTATGTCTCTCTCCTAGTCCACTGATAGAGGAGGTCCTCTTCCCCTTCTATTGGACTCTAGCCTATCAGGTCTCATCAGGACTAGTTGCATTGTCTTCCTCTGTGGCCTGGCAAAGCTGTTCCCCGCCACTGAGTTCATGCCAGAGAAAGCCCCTGCTCCCCTTACTAGGGACCCAGAAGCAGAAAGACACATATGGTATATACTCACTCATAAGTGGATATTAGCCATGTAATATAGGATAAACATATAAAAATCTATACTCCTAAAGAAGTTAAACAGCAAGGAAGACCCTAGGGAAGATGCTCAATTCTCATTCAGAAGGGCAAACACGATAGACATCAGAAGCAGGAGAGGATAGGGAAGAGGACAGGGCCCTACCACAGGTGGCCTCTGAAAGACTCTACCCAGCAAGGTATCAAAGTAGAGGCTGAGACTCATAGCCAAACTTTGGGCAGAGTACAAGGAATCTTATGAAAGAAGGGGGAAATAGAAAGATCCAGAGGGGACAGGAGCTCCACAAGGAGACCAACAGAGCCAAAAACAAACAAACAAACAAACAAAAATGGAGCCCTGGGGGCCCTGAAGAGAATGATACCCTAACCAAGGACAATGCATGAAGAGGACCTGAAACCCCTGCTCAGCTGTAGCCCATAGACTCAGTATCCAAATGATAGAATTTTTAAAGACCGTGGGACTTTCAAAAGCTGAACCATATTTTATATTTTGGTCTTAGTATTAGCACCAGTTCTTGGAGATGAAAAAGGAAACCTTACAGGTTACATTTTAATAGTGATGTGTTTATGTGTTGAATTGACAAGCAGATATCTTGTGCTCATTCGTCTCTGTGGATGTGGCACAAATTAGAGTCACTTGGGAAGAAGGAACCTCAACTGAAGAATTGTCACCATCAGACTGGCCCGTGGGAATGTCCTTAGAACGTTTTCTTGGCTGTTAACTGACATGGAAAGGACCAGCCCACTGTGGGCAGTGCCGGCCCTAGGCAGGTGGCCCTGGATTGTATGAAAACCGAAGCAGAGCAAGTCAGTAAGCAAGATTCCTCCATGGCCTCTGCTTTAGTTCCCGCCTTAAGTTCTGCCTTGGGTCCATCGCTGATGGACTGTGATCGGGACATGTAAACCAAATGAACCCTTTCTTCCCCAAATTGGTTTTGACCAGTGTCTTATTCCAGCAGGAAAAGCAAACTAGGACACCTGCCCTTGCTTCTGAAGTTTGTCCCTTGTGTGCGCAACCCTGTCTCTCCTGCTTGGTCTGGTCTGCTCCCATCTCAGTGCTCATTTCCCTCAGTAGCTTTGGCTTCAGGGACCTTCGTGCACCTATTTCTTCACCCCTATCCGTCACCTCCAGCTTCCTTCCCAGTTCAGACTGTACTCACCTGAGGCAGAGGGAACACAGGGTCCAGTGGGGCAGTTACTGGCTCTACCACAGGGAGCTGGGTCCTGTTTGACTCCGCCATGGATTTTTGTTCCAAGGGCCCTGTGGGCCCCACAGCTGATCTGAGTCCCAGTGCTGGAGCCCTTAGCTAGCTCTGCATTGTGGAGGCTTCGCCTGACTCCTGGACCCATGGCTATGGCTCTGGTCTTTTCCCCCGTAGCCCTCCATTTGACCCCTAAACCCTCCTCCCACCACCTTTGAGCTATTATCTGGACACTCTGCTGAAATTGTATGCACAGCTGTCTTCCAAGATCAAATCCCCACCCCGTCCTCACTTATCTGTTAGGTCTAGCTATCCTGATGCTCTGGACTCCAAGTCTACTTACTACATGGCCAGGGATGTTCCTGGAAAAATGGCACCCCTTGGACATGGGCTTTACAGTGCTTCTGTTTTTCTTATCTAGCTGGGTGCTGGACTTACGTTTGTGACAATGAAATACAACTTCTCTGAGAGGCCCATGTGGGGGCGGTACTACTGGTCTGGGGTTGGACACAGGGTTCGGGGCTCCTTACTCACAGAGAAGTGGACTTTTATCATGTCTTACTCCCACCATTCTCTTCATCTGCATCCACAGAAGCTAGGTGTCTCTTGAGGGTGGGGCCACAAGTGTGTATTCCTTAGAGCAGTCATGGTTGCTGGTACCCGATGGCCACGCACAACATCCTAGGCAAAAGCTTCTAGGCTGTGCATGATGGCCCGTGCCTATAATACCAGCGTTTGGAAAGTGGAAGCAGGAGGGTCAAGAATTCAAGAATATTCAGGAATTTAGGTATACAATGAATTAAAGGCCAGCCTGAGCTACACAAGTTCCTATTTCAAAAAAAACCACAACCACAACAAAGAGAAAAAAAAACAGATAACATCTTTTAAGCCAGGTTGTCTCCGCCA